CTAGTGTTACTGGATGATTCTGATCCTGTCGTTGGCGTCGCTTCATTTCACCTGAGATATGTTCCTTGGGGAAGGGGTCTGAAGAAACAGCCGACCATGGCAGTACAGCAATGTTATGCCGCTAGCATGTGGGCAGGCATTATCTGCTGCAGCGTGACGTTACGTCCCTGCACTTGCACAAAGTGCAGAACATGATCTCGCCCCAGTAGCGTGCGCCATTCAAATTACCATTAACGAGGATGAGTCGTGTTCTCCCATGAGTCGTGATGCCACCCATACCATTACACTCCCACCCAAAACTGACGACTTTGAGTAACGCAGGCGTCGCTAACATGTTCTCCGTGACGCCTGTAAAGTGAGTGAGTGAGTTGGGTTTAACGCTGCTTTTATCAGTACTCCAGTTATATCACGGCGTGTCAGCTTAATGTGGGAGAAAAGCCCGAAGTGATGCAGGTCTCAGACGTTTACCACTTCACTGAAACCCACGAGCACGGGTATGGTGCTGACAAACCTAGAAACCCACAATCATAGGTTTCTGGCGTGCCCAAGCGAATCGCGGCACCTTAGACGACTGGGCCACCCGTGCCCCCGACGTCTCTAGACCCTTGCACGACCATCAAAATTGTCAAGATGAAACGTGGACTCATATGTGAACTGTATACTGTCCGGGTCTTGTCTTCTGAACCTCCGATGCTGCCTACACCAAGCAAGGCTTGTCTGACGATGACGTGGAAGCAAAATTGGGCGTATCGTTGGAGTCGGGACCGGATGTTGTGCTCCCTGAACCGGTTGTGTACGGTTCTGCCACTAAGTGGTCTCAACCCAGGTTATTATCCGAGCTGTTAATGTGTTAGTTTGGCATCGATTCCGTAGATGCATCAACCGAATATGGTTGTCTTGTTGACGTGACGTCACACGTTGACGTACAGCATGTAGCAAGTCATGAGTGTTGCCCTGCTGAAGATAACGTCTCCGAAGAGATGATATTGTGTTTCAATGAAAATTAAAATGTCTGGCAACTTCGTTTGGCGCCATTCCTCTTTGCAGAGGCGCGTTAACGTTGATTTATTAGCAAGCCATGGTATTGCAAACGTTATTAACGTTTTAACAAAAGTGTTTTTCATGAGCACCTGATAGCTTAACAATCACTGTGTGCTGTTCACCTTAAAAAAATACGTACCCGATAAGAAGCGGGATAGGAAAGGTCTTCAGCAACCCATGCTTGCCGTAAAAGGCGACTATGCTTGTCGGAAGGGGCGACTAACTTAGTTGATTCATTTCACCGTATCCCAACTGCGTGGATCGATGCTCATGATGTCAATTACTGGATTGTCTGGTCAATACTCGATTATTTACAGACCGCCGCCATATAGCTGGAATATTGGTGAGTGCGGCGTTAAACAACAAACAAACAAACAAACAAAGACAACGGGTGTGAGTATCTTTCCCCCAACAAACACGCAAACATCCACATGGCGCGCCGTGTATTATTAACATGTACGAAGAAATGTCTTCATGAATATGTATGAAAGATGTATTATATAATTTCAAAATAAATTTATTTTTATTGAAGTTTATATAAGTCCCCTTTTACCTTTAGTATTTGATGGTGGCTATCACTGATATTTACCACCCAAAAACAAATCCGCGTGAAAAGTTATTGGACATTAACATCGCCTTCTCACGAGACTATTTTTAGTAAGTTGAAGAAGGCATCGGCAGCTCTGAGCCTTTCGCTTGAGAGATACATTTTGACCTTGACCCTTTGTGGGCTATGAGTTTTGTAAGAGATTTTTTTTAATACAACAATAAACGAGAACAATACACATGTATGTTGGTGTCATACATTTGTCTTCATTTTCCTTTCACTAACCCACAAACTGTACAGCTCTTGGACAATAATCCGTTATTCATGGCTATTCATTATATCCCAAGTATATTACGAGCTTCATTTGACATCGACTTGTCTAACAGCTGAACAAGGGAGATAATTCTATGGCTCCACCACTTCTTTATGACAATGAATGCGACGTTTCGGTGTAGATACTAACACCGTTATCGAGTTATGGTAACGTGCCATCTTTTACAATGAACGTGTCGATAACACAGCGTTAGAAATTGGCACTAGTCTATATTCCTTGCCAAACTGGCCAATGGTAAAGGTATCATAAGGACTAGTAGAAATTTACATTTTTTAGGGTTTTGCTATATGTTATCATTATAAGGACTAGTGGACGAAAACTGTTGGTTTCTAACCCTGTAACACCTCTCTGTAAGGGAGTGATTGATTGAATGAATTGGGTTTAACGCCGTTTAACAGTATTCCAGTTACAGTAGACTACGGTTATAACGAACTCAAAGGGACTACTAGTTTGAGTTCGTTATAACCGTAGTTCGTTATAAGCACATATACAGCATAACTACAGCAAGTAGTCGGGACCAAAAAAGTAAGTTAGTAATATCCGTCAGTTCATTATAAGCGTGTTCGTTATAACCGTAGTTTACTGTATATCACGGCGTGTCAGCTTAATGTGGGAGGAAAGCCCAAGTGATGCAGGTCTCAGATGTAAGGGAGTGAGTTGGGTTGGTTTGCTGTTTTCAACAGGATTTCGGTTATACCACGGCTTTTCAGCTTGGTGTGTTGGGAAACCCCGAAGTGTTGCATGTTTCTGGGCGTTTTCTACTTTGGTGAAACCAACGAGCACAGCTAAGAAGAAAAAAAGTCATTATCACGGCGTGTATGGGATGAGAGTGAGTGAGTGTGGTTTTACGCCGCTTTTAGCAATATTCCAGCAATATCCCGGCGGGGGACACCAGAAATGGGCTTCACACATTGCACCCATGTCAGGAATCGAACCCGGGTCCTCGGCGTGACGAGCGAACGCTTTAACCACTAGGCTACCCGACCGCCCCGTATGGGATTAGAACTGACGAATCACAGGATTCTGGTACAAGTAAGGTACGCAACTCTGCACAGCGAATTGCTGCGCTTAGACAACATTACTGGACCCTACCTCTTAAATAAGTTGACGTTGGGCGGTTATATTTGTGCTTTATTGTTTAACGCCGCACGGAGCAATGTTCCATCTACATGACGGCGGTTTTTTCAGTAATTGAGACTGGACCAAACAATCCAGTGATTGGTATCATGAGCATCGATCAAAGCAATTGGGATTGATGACATGCATCAACCAAGTCACCCGATCCCGTTAGTCGCCTCCTACGACAAGCATGGGTTGCTGAAGACCAGTCCTTATCCAGGTCTTCACGGTGGCTATGTGTGTGGTATAGCGCAGGGATTCCTGGGCAGGATACGTCTCTGGTATACTCCAAGTCAGAACAGCCGGCTTATGGGTGTTAACAGTGTGTGGCTGTGTGACATCGTACTTTGACGGGGTTACTCAACCACTGTTTGCGTGGCCCAGACTCGAGTATATACAGGCCGTCTTGATATATACGGTCAACGGTAGCGGTCAACGGTCAACTGTCAACGGTAGCGAGTTAACACAGAAAGCACAGACGTTGCAATCGATAAATAATACCACTTAATGCAAGGTCACTTAAGCCCCCTTTACACAGGGCAGCGACCTTTGTGCCACCTTTGAGCAATCAAAAACTGGCTAGGACGCTCAATGGTCGCCTAAACCCAGAAAATTATGTTTCTATGTAACTGCTCCAGCAGTTGTTCAGCAGTAACTGCTCGAGTTGTTCAGTGTCTGCAACCACACTGAAACACTGCAGGTACAAGCCCCCTATTTATAGGCAGACTGTGGAGGCATTACAGGTAGCTCAAAGGAGGCAGAAGCATTGCCATGGTGTCTCAAGGGTTGTGCCTCCCTTCTGCTTCCTTTGAGCCACCTTTGAGCAACCAATCTCCTCGGTGACCTTTGTGCGACCATGGCGTCCATGACGATGTCTGAACCTCCTGTGATCCTCCAACGTCGACCTGGTCGCACACTGGAGGCACAAAGGTCGCCATCCTGTGTAAAGGTCACATTAGGTATTACCAAACGCCCAAATGCAGCCCCCATTGCTTGTGCATGAGGTGACGGTCTGTGCCCGTGTAAGTGGTATATTTCGGATTTTTTACTCAACACTTTTACTGAAACCTTAATGTTCATAACATGCTCTATCAACTGGACGTCCCTCGTCCTCTACACCGGTCCATGATCGTCTGATCAGTAAGTCCGTCGTCCTCTACACCGGTCCTCCTCGATTTTTTGTATGACGCTAGATATATAACTAGGCTGGGATTTTGTACAGAGATTTTGTATAGAGATTAGATATTATTTCATCTACAGCTACAACACCACATATTTTTTAAATATTTAAAACCATGAGCCTTATTTTTTTTAAAGAATAACACCTTGCAATAATGTAATTTTTTGTGGGAGGTAAACCCCAACCCCAGCAGAATATCAAATGGTTGGCCCCTAAAGGTGCATGAGGTCTCATGGCGTTCAAGATTATTAAAAAATTATGGCGATACGTCTGTTGGTATTACACAGTCAGGGAATCGATCCACCGACCTTCCACTCCTCGGGCCGACAATCCATCCGCTGGGCAAAGGAGTTTTAACAATACATTACTGACGACGGCTTAACAACTACACACTCATTCATAACCATAAAAATGGAATTTGACAATTCCGCGTGTTATAAATACCAAAGAAGTCGGATCAAAGTCCTCCAACGTTGCATACAAGCCTCAGTGTTTATTGGTCCAGTATGTCAGGACCAAGAAGACGCCCCTAAAGACCGTTAAACCATCAAAGTGCCTGCCTGTCATGGTGCTGTCACAGATACAAACACCTATGTAAATATAATGTCAGAGAACTTATTGCGCATGTGTTCATTCTGATTTTAATGGACTGAACCTTTTACGACATGCCATCTTAAGCGTATTATTTTTGATCATTTGAATGAAACGTAACAATATGACGTCACCCAGCTATATTAATAAGGTGCCGTGAGCGCAGTGATCCAGACCATCAACAGCAGTCGATCCGAGTCGGTTGCCTTAGAACCGTAAACGTCTACCTCCAGAATTTTGGTTTGAGATGCAACGTTTCAAGGTGTCTCTGGGCTGTTGATTTTTTTTATCAGTGCTCACTTAACTGAAGACGTGTTGGGCGGTTTTCCTCGCCTGCAGTCGGCTATAAGCTGTTTGACCACGGCTTCCTGAGAAGCCTACAGGCAGAAGAAGCCTGACGAACTTACATCCTAAGAGCGAGTTTTCAGGAGGAACACTGGGCAAATATCTGCTGAGCTGGCTTCTTACAGTAAGTACTACAGTAGTCGGCCCAGAAATGGAAAAGACAAGGAGGGTGCACCTGGGTGGCTGGTGGGGTTCGGGTGGTGTTGAACAAATTCCCATGATAAGTTGGCTTGTTAAATGTGAGTATCCACTATCCACAAATGGTTGATTCCATGAGTTTACAGCAAGATCCAACAGCACTTGCCGTTATCAGGGATTATGCTTGTCGTAAGAGGCGACTGAAGGGATTGGGTGGTCAGGCTTGCTGACTTGGTTGATGCATGTCATCGTATCCAGTTTCGTAGATCGATGCTCATGATGTCAATCACTGGATTGTCTGGTCCGGACTCGATTATTTACAGGTCGCCGTCATATAGCTGGAATTTTGCCGTGTGCGGCGTTAAACACCAAACAAACAAAATCATATAAATTGCATGTACTATTTGTTAACGCTGTCCATGAAAGGACAGATTTAGTCATGAAATAAACGAGTTTCAAAATTGTCGTTTCAAGCATTGAAAAGACAATGTCAAATTTGCCAAGTCTGAGAAATTCATTGTTGAACTTGAAACCACATTCCTTTTGTCAGTTTTCTTCATCTCATTTTAATATCTTATTTAAAAATTACTACTTTGCAAATAAACATAAATGAACATCTGAGAATGAATGAGTTGAAAGGCTTGCCGAATATACTGTTGTACAAAGGAATATACTGGTATTTATGTCAGACAGGTTCAATACTTTTACAACAGGAATAAGCGAGCGCTCCTGTAACGCCTACATCAATTTTACTATAAGACGCGGGTAGAGTTCAATCGTCACCACTCGCCCCTTTCCGTAACCTGCAAGAAGACTCGTCCCCCTATCGATGTTATGTGCGAAAATACGACAAACCAATCAGAATGCGCGTAAGTTCTTCGTCAAAGAATCCCGAAGGAATATTTTTTTTATATTACATATGTCTTGCATCTAAAAATTATACCAAAGACACAGTTAAATGTGTTCAATCATACCGTATAATTCCGCATATCCCTATGTGCTTTAAATTGCATCTGAAATATATATAATATATGGGAAAATATGCGTGAACTAATACGCAACGAGTTGACAATTGTTTTAGGTATGCCCGTTTGCACTAAGACGTGACCCGGTCGCAAAAATGGCCACGATAGGGGCACGAGTCGCTATTCGGCTTGTCCCGGAATAACACGAGTTGGTCACGAATGGGGTAGAGTTTTATTGTTAACGTAGTTCCCATGTTCATACGCCAATATGGAAACCTCCGAGAGGGGCACGATTCTACAATCGGCTTGACCCTGAATGGGACGAGTCGGTCACCAATGTAGTGAGTGAGTTGTATTTAACGCCGCTTTCAACAGCATTCCAGTTATATCGCGGCGTGTCAGCTTAATGTGGGAGGAAAGCCCGAAGTGATGCAGGTTTCAGACGTTTACCACTTCGATGAAACCCACGAGCACGGGTATGGTGCTGACAAACCTAGGCACATAATCGGGAACCTGGATTCGACCCACAATCATAGGTTTCTGGCATTTCCAAGGGACGCAACTCTGCACAGCGAATTGCGGCGCCTTAGACGACTGGGCCACCCGTGCCCCCGTCACGAATGTAACGTAACGTTAATTAAACCAATTAAAGTGCACAATGTTGATTCCTAACTGTTCTCCTAGCTTCAGAGACATGGACATCTCTACCAACAGTGGGTTTATTTCCACGGAAGCGCAGGTCTTCGTGGTGACGTTCCTCGTATCAGCGGCCCTCATAAAAGTCGTGAAGTCCCTCACGCCGTCTCACACACCTCCTGGGCCATGGGGCGTTCCGGTCCTTGGAACCCTTCCATTCTTTGGCAAGGAGCCAAACGTGACATTTACCGAGATGTGGCAGAAGTACGGGAACGTCTTCAGCATCAAGCTAGGCAGCTGGCCCGCCATTGTGGTCAATGGACGCGAGGCCATCCGAGAAGCTCTGGTCGAGAAGGGCGACATCTTTTCCAGCAGACCCAAGTTCTTCACTACCAGTTTCAGCAATGGCACTAGCGTCAGCTTCTCCGAGTTCACAGACGACTACAAGTTTCATAGACGCAATGCCCTGGGGGCGCTGAGCATGTTCGCGAATGCCAAGAAGAACCCAATCGAGAGGATTGTCAATGATGAGGTTGATTTCGTGGACAACTCCTTTAAAAAACACAACGAGCAGCCTTTCAACCCACACGACTACATATTCATAGCGGCAGGCAGCGTCATATACCAGATTTGTTATGGGGTACAAGAAGATGTACGCGAGAACAAGGACTTTGTTGAATTCATTCTCAATGTGAAGAAATTTACAAACTTCGTTTCAACGGGTAACCCATTCGACGCTCTTCCGTGGCTTAGACATTTCATGCGGGACAAGTACCGTCAGTTTAAAGACCTTCTGTCTTTGTCAAAGTCTCAGAGAATGAAGAAGATCAAGGAACACGAAGAAACCTTCCAAGAAACGGACATCCGCGATGTAACAGATCGTCTGCTGCAGCTCAGCAATCAAGGCCATCTCGACAAGGAGACTCTTCAGACGACACTCGCCGACTTCTTTGGTGCTGGTTTTGTTACAATAGCTACAACGACAGAATGGACGTTACTGCTGATGGCGGCACATCCTGAAATCCAGGACAAGGTTCTGGCTGAGATCGACGAAGTGGTGGGTTCGGAACGGAAGCCAACTCTAGCAGACCGCGGGAAGATGACATACACAGAGGCCGTAATCCACGAGTCGATGAGACTGACATCCATTTCCCCGCTTGCCATCCCTCACTTGGCGATGGAGGACACCTGGCTACAGGGCTACCACATTAAGAAGGGCACAGTTGCCTTCATTAACCTGTACTCCATGAGCCAGGACAAGAATGTGTGGGGAGACCCGGAGGTGTTCAGACCAGAGAGGTTCCTGGACGAGTTTGGCCAGATCAGGCGATCGCTGTTGGAGGAGTTCCTGCCGTTCTCAATAGGGCGTCGGAGATGTTTGGGGGAGTTCCTGGCGAGGATGGAGGTATTCCTGCTAATAACTGGAACGCTGCAAAAATATCGTCTGCAAAAGCCAGCAGATGTGGACAGATACTCTCTGCAGGCCAGTTTTGGTCTGGTCAGAATGCCCAAACCTTTTCAAATTGTTGCAATTCCTAGATAGCAAATATATGTTGCTACTGGGGAAGGTCGAACTGAAAGTGGCGTACATCACTGTCACATAAAACCATACCCAAAGGCTAATATGTAATTGTGACATTGATGTGCCCCACTCTGACACAGATATGAGACGGTGACAACTCGGGTCCTTGGAGGTATTCACACATCGAGTAAAGTGAAAAGATATTCCACATTATTGCCGATACAAATTTGCAAGGACAAAATAAACACATCGTAATAATAAAGTCGCAGGTTTCACCGACGACTAAACTGGTCCCATGTCTTCATCGTCAGTTTCAGTGTGTGAACAGTGTTAATAAATTGAATCTGAATTGTCACACGATTCCATCCTTAATTAAAGTGGCAGGGAACGTGTCCTCGGAGATGTGCCACACTAGGGTCCGAGAGATATGCTACACAGGGGTCAGATGTGTTACACCGGGTCTGAGCGATGTGCCACACCGGGTCTGATAGATGTACTACAGTGGGTCTGAGGAATGTGCTACACTAGGTTCAGATGTGCTACACCTGGGTCAGATAGATGTGCTACACTGGGGTGTGAGAGATGTGCTACACCGGGTCTGATAGATGTACTACAGTGGGTCTGAGAGATGTGCTACACTAGGTTCAGATGTGCTACATTGGGGTCAGATAGATGTGCTACACTGGGGTCAGATAGATGTGCTACACTGGGTCTGATAGATGTGCTACACTGACGTATGATAGACGTGCTACACTGACGTCTGATAGATGTGCTACATTGGGTCAGACAGATGTGCTCCACTGAGGCTAGATAAATGTGTGCTACACTGGGGTCAGATGGATGTGCTACATTGGGTCAGATAGATGTACTACACTGGGGTCGGATAGATGTACTACACTTGTGTCAGATAGATGTACTACACTGGGGTCAGATGGATGTGCTACACTGGGGTCAGATAGATGTACTTTACTTGTGTCAGATAGATGTGCTACACTGGGGTCAGATAGATGTATTTTACTTGTGTCAGATAGATGTGCTACACTGGGGTCAGATAGATGTGCGACACTTGTGTCAGATAGATGTACTACATTGGGTCAGATAGATGTACTACACTTGTGTCAGATAGATGTACTACACTGGGGTCAGATAAATGTACTACACTGGAGTCAGATAGATGTGCTACACTTGGGTCAGATAGATGTACTACACTGAGGTCAGATAGATGTGCTACATTGGGTCAGATAGATGTACTTTACTTGTGTCAGATAGATGTGCTACACTGGGGTCAGACAGATGTACTTTACCCGTGTCAGATAGATGTGCTACACTGGGGTCAGATAGATGTACTTTACTTGTGTCAGATAGATGTGCTACACTGGGGTCAGATAGATGTGCTACACTGGGGTCAGATAGATGTACTTTACTTGTGTCAGATAGATGTGCTACACTGGGGTCAGATAGATGTACTTTACTTGTGTCAGATAGATGTGCTACACTGGGGTCAGATAGATGTACTTTACTTGTGTCAGATAGATGTGCTACACTGGGGTCAGATAGATGTGCCACACTTGTGTCAGATAGATGTACTACACTGGGGTCAGATAGATGTGCCACACTGAGGTCAGATGGATGTGCTACATTGGGTCAGATAGATGTGCCACACTGAGGTCAGATGGATGTGCTACATTGGGTCAGATAGATGTGCTACACAGGGTCAGATAGATGTGCTACACTGGGGTCTGGTAGATGTGCTACACTGAGGTCAGATAGATGTGCTACACTGGGGTCAGATGGATGTGCTATACTGGGGTTAGATAGATGTGCTACACATGGTCAGATAGATGTGCTACACTAGGTTCAGATGTGCTACACTGGGGTAGAATGGATGTGCTACACTGGGTCAGATAGATGTGCTACACTGGCATCAGATGGATGTGCTACACTGGGTCAGATAGATCTGCTATATTGGGTCAGATATATGTGCTACACAGGGTCAGATAGATGTGCCACACTGGGTCAGATAGATCTGCTATATTGGGTCAGATATATGTGCTACACAGGGTCAGATAGATGTGCCACACTGGGGTCAAAGAGATGTGCTACACTGGGGTCAGATAGATGTGCTAGACTGGGATAAGAAATATGTGGTACACTGGGGTCAGAGGGATGTGCAACACTTGGGTCAGATAGATGTACCACACTGGGGTCAAAGAGGTGTGCTACACTGGGGTCAGATAGATGTGCTACACTGAGGTCAGATAGATGTGTCACACTGGGGTCAAAGAGATGTGCTACACTGGGGTCAAAAGAGATGTGCTACATTGGGGTCAGAGAGATGTGCTACACTGGGGTCAGAGGGATAAACACTTGGGTGTGAGAGATATGTTTCACTTGGGTCAGATAGACGTGCTACGCTGGGGTCAGAGAGATATGCTTCACTGGGGTCAGATAGATGTGCTACACTGGGGTCAGAGAGATGTGCTACACTGGGGTCAGAAATATGTGCTACACTGGAGTCAGATAGATGTGCTACACTGGGGTCAGAGAGATGTGCTACACTGGGGTCAGAGAGATGTACTACACTTGGTTGAGAGAGATATGTTTCACTTGGGTGAGAGAGATGTGCTACACTGGGGTCAGAGAGATGTGCTACACTGGGGTCAGAGAGATATGCTTCACTGGGGTCAGAAATATGTGCTACACTGGGGTCAGAGAGATGTGCTACACTGGGGTCAGAGAGATGTGCTACACTGGGGTCAGAGAGATGTGCTACACAGGGTCAGATAGATGTGCTACACTGGGGTCAGAGAGATGTGCTACACTGGGGTCAGAAATATGTGCTACACTGGGGTCAGATAGATGTGCTACACTGGGGTCAGAGAGATGTGCTACACTGGGGTCAGAGAGATGTGCTACACTGGGGTGAGAGAGATGTGCTACACTGGGGTCAAAGAGATGTGCTACACTGGGGTCAGAGGGATGTGCTACACTCGGGTGAGAGAGATATGTTTCACTGGGGTCAGATAGATGTGCTACATTGTGGTCAGAAAGATTTTCTCCACAGGAGTTACAAGTTCTATGTCATATGTTTATATTTGCCAGTGAAGAAGAATTCTTAGGTCATTACACAACCAAGACATTTAAAAAAAATACATTTTATTCAATAGCAACAATACACATCTGTACATAACAGTTATATACAAAACATAGTCGATGGACGGACTTCTACATAGAGGAAGGTACAGGATTCTAGATTCACAGATGATGCATTCAGTTCCTCACCATCAAACAAACACAGAGAGCTCGTCTGTCACGCTACAATCACTGGAAGCTCAGCCAGCGAAAAAAAGTGGATCTGCTTAGTTTTATGAAAACTCATCACCAGGCCTTATTTCTATATTTTAGTTTGTTTACAAGAACGAGCAACCAAACAAATGTGAAATTAGAAGAAAAATAGAAGACTTTTGAGGAAACAAAACTTTCAAACTTACAACTAAGTGAAAGGGAAAAACCACCAGATTGTATCACCTCTGTCAGTAAGAAATGGTGAATAATACATATACAAATCTATTTTATAACAAAATAGGCCATCAGTTATCTTAGAGTACCATTTTGCAATCATTTATGTGATGATGTGACCCACGGGTTTGTTTTTCATTCATTAGCAGAAGTACTAACCTGGAAGTCGAAAATTATTTTCATTATTTTTTAGACCACCTACTAGGGTTTGGGATGAGTCCAAGTTTACTACCCGGGCACCCATCACCCTATTACCCGACCCTGACCGGATACCCACTGTAGATATGTAGAGATAGGTACAAACTGTCCGATTTGGAAAAGTTTGACCGTAGCCCTTCCAAAATGTATTTAGATACACGTGTGAAGCGATCTGGTCATGCATACACTGAAGTTAACTGCATGAAGTTATCTTAATTCAAATATATAAAAGTCAGAATGAATGGGTGCATAGTCAGATAGAAATGGGAACATTAGTGACTTGTAGTGTAACCATAGAGTTTTAGATAATTTTTCATTAAACAATATATCACGTGACTAACCACTCGACTCGAGTACCCAAGTTACCCGTCCCAGCCCTACCACCTCCAGTGAAGTTTGAGCCATTTTTTTTGTAAACCAAAAAATGAAAGGCTCAATCATGCCTGCTTGTTTCTCACGATTAATTTTATATAAATAAAAATCTACTACATGCAGACCTGAACACATCTGACACTACATGCATATGCCTGGAAAAAGTTAAGCACCATACTTTTACTTTTGGAAATATCTACATGACATTGACCTTCCATTGAAAACTGTCTTAGATACCATTGATGACTAAGTGAGTGAGTGAGTTGGGTTTAAAGCTGCTTTTAACAGTATTCCAGTTATATCACGGTGCGTCAGCTTAATGTGGGAGGAAAACCCGAATAGATGCAAGTCTCAGATGTTCACTGATACCTGATGAAAAGTTGGTATAAGAACACTGTATGTTCCTTCAGATCAGTGTTCGAAATTGGGACTAGTCCTACAGCCCTTGCTCAATAGTTACGGTATCATAGGGACCAGTAGAAATTTGCCAGTTTTAAGGGTTTTGTTAAATGTTATCATTATAAGGACTAGTGGACGAAAACTGTTAGTTTCTGTCACTGCAGATGGTTGCAGTGAGCGAGGTTTTACGTTGCTTTTAGCAATATTCCAGCAATATTGTGGCAGGGGACACCAGAAATGGGCTTCACGCATTGTACCCATGTCGGGAATCGAACCCGGGTCTTTGGATGTAACGAGCGAACACTTTAACCACTTGGCTGCCCGACCGCCCCCCAGATGGTTGCAAGTAGAGGACACATCCCATAATACCAAGAAGAGGAAGCAACTGAAAGGTTCATCAAATGACTAAAGCCATGGACTTCATGTACTTGCTGTATTTCAGTATTTGTGTGTAACTTTGTAAACAAACACAAACGTGATTCATCAGAAAATGACACCAGGATACAATTTTTACAAATTGCTATTTGATATGGAAATATATAAACAGTAAACTACATTTATAACGAACACGCTTATAAAGAACTCACTGATATAATGAATTTAGTTTTTAGTCCCGGCCATTTGTTGTTTATATGCTTATAACGAACTACGGTTATTACAAACTAAAACTAGTGGTCCCTTTCAGTTCGTAATAACCGTGGTTTACTGTAGTTAGTGGTGCTTCATTATATCCTGGTATATATTTACAGTTACATGTTACAAGTAACCAGTTTTGTGTATCAGTGAGCAGGCCCAACACTATCAAAGGTTCATCTGTGTAGTTTGTAACCGGCCACTTAACTCAGGAATATTCCTGCTTTATGACGACAGACTGTAAATAATCAAGTCTGAATCAGCCAATCCTGTGATTGAAATTGTGAGGAATGATACCACCTGCAGGGTAGAACGACACACAATCGACCAAATCACCGAGCCTGACCACCTGATCCAACTGGTCACCTCTTAAGTTAGAGATGGTTGGTTTGTTTGTTATTTAACGCCGCACTCAGCAATATTCCAGCTAAATGACAGCGGTCTGTAAATAATTGAGTCTGCACCAGACAATCCAGTGATTAATATCATGAGCATCGATCCACGCATTTGAGATCGATGACATGCATCAACCAAGTCAGCAAGCCTGACCATCCGATCCCATTAGTCGACTCTTATGACAAGCATAGTCGTCTTTTACGGCAAGCATGGGTTGCTGAAGACCAATTCTACCCCGGATCTTCAGGGGGTCCTTAAACTAGAGGGGCGGTAGGGTAGCCTAGTGGTTAGAGTGTTCACTCGTCATACAGAAGGCCGGGGTTCGATTCATACATGGGTACAATGTGTGATGCCCATTTCTGGCGTCCCCACCCGTGATATTGCTGGAATACTGCTAAAAGCGATGTAAAACCACACTCACTCACTTAAACTAGCACAGGTTGCTGGGGACCTGATATGACCTGGACACCGTTCCACAAAGCGATCTTAGCGCTATGAATATCGTAAGCCAGTGTTAAATCATGGGAGTTACGACCATCTTAGCGCTAAGACTGCTTTGTGGAACGGGGCCCTGGACTCAGGGTGGTAATATACACTGTAATATTTGGCAAAATAGCTACAAACATCAAATTAAGTTCTGTGTTTCAGGCATAATATAACCAACGACAACAAAATGTCACGGTTTTGAATCTCATTCAATGTTTCGAGATGCACTGAGTAAAATAATTTTCTTGTCATTCGTTTCGAGGTAAAGTACATTATGCATTTTCATTGTGCTTCAGTGTATCATGACACGAGTCTCACAAAAATGACCATTTTTCTATAATTCATGACAAAATAATTACATTTATCACAATGATAGACACATTACATAAGGAAGAGCATTTATGGATGTCAACTTCTATATTATGAGGAGCACGTTTATATGGAGTATATACTTACTCAGGTGAATAAATCCTATGAAGAACATATATATATATATACATTAATTCGCTTCCTTGTGTGTATCACTTCTAAATGCCATACAAACACTTTGTAACATTGTTCTGTAGTGGAATGCTGCTCATTGTGAGACTGACAAAGCCTATTGTTTCTTGATTGTTTCTTGATTGTTTCTTAACTGTTTCCTCTGCATCATCTTCACATCCAACTCAAAAATTTATAACCATTTCATTGTATCATTGTCTCCTTATAAATATACATACACATAAAACATGAAAATATTCATGGAGGCTCTTCAAAGTGACACTGGTGAATAATGCAATATTTTTTACCTTAAACCAAATCTTCAAGACAATAAATGGCCATTAATCTGTAAACGTGATGAATTTGAGTCAATAACAGCAGATGTCACACTGTACCAGGGTTCTACCTTGCCCTACAAAACTAGGGTATATTCTGCATGGTGTAATATACTTGTATGGCTTGCATTGAGAACAAGGTCACTTGCAGGACTGTCTTTACGACTTGAAAGAACACACGTCACTAATGTCAAAATGGTCTACTGTTCTGATCAATCTTTATACTTGTATGACTTGCATTGAGAACAAGGTCACTTGCAGGACTGTCTTTACAATTTGAGAGAACACACATCACTAATGTCGAAATGGTCTACTGTTCTGATCGATCTTTATACTTATATGGCTTGTGTTGAGAACAAGGTCACTTGCAGGACTGTCTTTACGACGTGACAGAACACACGTCACTACTGTCAAAATGGTCTACTGTTCTGATCGATCTTTATACTTATATGGCTTGTGTTGAGAACAAGGTCACTTGCAGGACTGTCTTTACGACGTGACAGAATGTCGAAATGGTCTACTGTTCTGATGAGGCTGCAGAACGTAGTCTGGATGCTGTTTTCCTGACACCTCATCACAACTCCTTGGTATCTCGCAGCAGTTCCCTCTCGGCATTGTGTCGTGCATTCATCATCTTCATGCGGGCTTCCTTGAAGGCATCTGACAGAGACAAGGAAGGTATCAGTAATGGTCGAAACTTACAAAACACAAAATCATGTTCTAACAGCAATACTTTGACAGCCTGAAATACAACTGGTCCATCGCAAGTGCCAGGTATTACAGCCACATAATAACTGATGCTGGTACCTGTCAAGATCCGGGGTCAAATAGGTCTTAAGGAACCCATGCTTGCCGTAACAGGCGTATGTTTGTCATAAGAGGTGACTAATGGGATCAGGTGGTCAGACTTGCTGACTTGGTTGATGCATGTCATCGTATTCAAATAGTGTAGATCAATGCTCATGATGTCAGTTACTGGATTGTCTGGCCCAGACTTGATTATTATTTACAGACCGCCATCATATAGCTGAAATACTGTTGAGTGTGGCGTTAAACAAACAAACTAACAAACTGATTCTGGCAAACTACATGGGAACCTATATTGTTTCCTCAAGACCATGAGCTCCATGGAAACCGTTCATAACAATGGCCCCTGGGAAACTGTTCCCAACAGAAGACCTATAACAATGACCCCAGGCAAACTGCTCCCAGCAGAAGACCTATAACATTGACCCCTGGGAAACTGTTCCCAACAGAAGACCTATGACAATGACCCCTGGGAAACTGCTCCCAACATAAGACCTATAACAATGACCCCTGGGAAACTGTTCCCAACAGAAGAACTATAACATTGACCCCCGGGAAACTGTTCCCAACAGAAGAACTATAACAAAGACCCCTGGGAAACTGCTCCCAGCAGAAGACCTATAACATTGACCCCTGGGAAACTGTTCCCAATAGAAGACCTATAACAATGACCCTAGGGGAACTGTTCCCAACAGAAGACCTATGACAATGACCCCTGGGAAACTGTTCCCAACAGAAGAACTATAACAATGACCCCTGGGAAACTGCTCCAAGCAGAAGACCTATAACATTGACCCCCGGGAAACTGTTCCCAATAGAAGACCTATAACAATGACCCTAGGGGAACTGTTCCCAACAGAAGACCTATAACAATGACCCCCATGAAACTGTTCCCAACAGAAGACCTATAACATTGACCCCCGGGAAACTGTTCCTAACAGAAGACCTATAACATTGAACCCTGGGAAACTGTTCCCAACAGAAAACCTATAACAATGACCCCAGGCAAACTGTTCCCAACAGAAGTCCTATAACAATGACCCCTAGGAAACTGTTCCCAACAGAAGACCTATAACAATGACCCCTGGGAAACTGTTCCCAACAGAAGACCTATAACAATGACCCTGGGAAACTGTTCCTAACAGAAGACCTATAACAATGACCCCTGGGAAACTGTTCCCAACAGAAGACCTATAACAATGACCCTTGGAAACTGTTCCTAACAGAAGACCTATAACAATGACCCCTGGGAAACTGTTCCCAACAGAAGACCTATAACAATGACACCTGGGAAACTTTTCCCAACAAGGGACCTACAGAATAAACATGGGGAACTGTTCCCAAAAGGGGAGCTATTACTTGAGCTCCTGTTAAACTGTTCCCAAAAAGGGGAGCTGAGAACATGCGAAACTGTTCCCCAAGGGGAGATATACCTTGATAACACGTAAAACAGTTTCCAATGGGGACCTATAGCATGAGCTCCTGGGAAACATTTCAGCTCCACTTGGTCACAGGGGACTTTGAGAACCTAATTCTGCCTCATTACCATTCAGCATCACATACAGCCTTGTTGGTATCCCAGTTTACTGTATTGCTTGAAATTACAGTGAAACTCACCAATGACGTTTGAAATGTTGGCTTGCATGGCGGTGATTCTGCAAAATGAAACACAACAGTTAACTCGTTGTACATGTAAGGTCTCCATCAGCAGCAAATTTGATATGAGCCGGACAAATGTCAAGCTATTGCACCTCCAAGGATGAGATATTAATTGTAAATAAAGGACAGTTTGTGTGAAACCAGTGCTTAATGCATCCAATATGGAATTACGGCCGATTTGTGGCATTGGGAGGACGCAGTGACACCTACCCCAGGTTGTCCAGGAGGGAGCCCACAGATCTCTTGTTGGCCTTCTTCTCCATAAATGCTCTGAAACATATCACAAATACACTTGTCTGAGGAAATAGTATCTCATGGAGTGAGTGAGTGGGTTGGTGGGTGAGTGAGTGAGTGAGTGAGTGAGTGAGTGAGTGAGTGAGTGAGTGAGTGAGTGAGTGAGTGAGTGAGTGAGTGAGTGAGTGAGTGAGTGAGTGAGTGAGTGAGTGAGTGAATGAGTGAGTGAGTGAGTGAGTGAGTGAGTGATTGGATGGGTGGGTGGTTTGGGTGAGTGAGTGAGTGAGTGAGTGAGTGAGTGGGTGTTTGGGTAGGTGGGTAGATGAGTGAGTGAGTGAGTGAGTGATTGGGTGGGTGGGTGAGTGAGTGAGTGAGTGAGTAAATGAGTGAGTGAGTGAGTGAGTGAGTGAGTGAGTGAGTGAGTGAGTGAGTGGGTGTTTGGGTGGGTGGGTAGATGAGTGAGTGGGTGAGTGAGTGAGTGAGTGAGTGAGTGGGTGAGTGAGTGAGTGAGTGAGTGAGTGAGTGAGTGAGTGAGTGAGTGAGTGAGTGAGTGGGTGTTTGGGTGAGTGAGTGAGTGAGTGAGTGAGTGAGTGAGTGAGTGAGTGAGCTGGACCACCCAATCCTTATTCTAGTTTGTCCTTATGACAGATATAACGTGCTAATGCCCGATCCGGACCTAAAGTGCGAGTTAAGTGTATTCTACACCAAATGAACCATCTGCGATAAGCTTCCTTTTATACATACCACTCAACTTGTCATAGAGATATGTCACTTCATTTAATTACACACTTGACATATTATGACAATCCCTTTTGTGTATCATGGAAAGACATAAATATCCCTACCAAAAGAAGAGTAAATATATGATATATTCAAGCCATCTTAAGTGTACCCAATGAACCATCTGCTTTCTGCTTTATAATAGTGGATGATTTGTGCAGCACGTTTAATGTGGGAAACATTCACAAGAGACTGACATGCAGGTGAAGACTGACATGCAGTTGGACAAGCTGCAGGAGATGTGACGCCTACTTTATATGACAGACAATAGGTCCCAGTGAGTACAGGGGCTCCTACCTGGACTGCATGATGACATTCAAGCGGTATGTCAGACTGCCCGATGTCTCCGTGTGAAATCCAAACTTGCTTAGGTGGCTGCCCTGGAACATGTAAAAGGTGGAGGGTTAATATAACCAACAGGTGGAGGGTTAATGATGTAACCAACAGGTGGAGTGTTAATGATATAACCAACAGGTGGAGTGTTAATGATGTAACCAACAGGTGGAGTGTTAATGATGTAACCAGTAGGTGGAGTGTTAATGATGTAACCAACAGGTGGAGTGTTAATGATGTAACCAACAGGTGGAGTGTTAATGATGTAACCAGTAGGTGGAGTGTTAATGATGTAACCAACAGGTGGAGCGTTAATGATGTAACCAGTAGGTGGAGTGTTAATGATGTAACCAACAGGTGGAGTGTTAATGATGTAACCAACAGGTGGAGTGTTAATGATGTAACCAACAGGTGGAGTGTTAATGATGTAACCAGTAGGTGGAGTGTTAATGATGTAACCAGTAGGTGGAGTGTTAATGATGTAACCAACAGGTGGAGTGTTAATGATGTAACCAACAGGTGGAGTGTTATTGATGTAACCAACAGGTGGAGTGTTAATGATGTAACCAACAGGTGGAGGGTCAATGATGTAACCAACAGGTAGAGGGTTAATGATGTAACCGACAGGTGGAGGGTTAATGATGTAACCAACAGGTGGAGGGTTAATGATGTAACCAACAGGTAGAGGGTTAATGATGTAACCAGTAGGTGGAGTGTTAATGATGTAACCAACAGGTGGAGGGTCAATGATGTAACCAACAGGTAGAGGGTTAATGATGTAACCAACAGGTGGAGTGTTATTGATGTAACCAACAGGTGGAGTGTTAATGATGTAACCAACAGGTGGAGGGTCAATGATGTAACCAACAGGTAGAGGGTTAATGATGTAACCGACAGGTGGAGGGTTAATGATGTAACTAACAGGTAGAGGGTTAATGATGTAACCGACAGGTGGAGGGTTAATGATGTAACTAACAGGTGGAGGGTTAATGATGTAACCGACAGTTAGAGGGTTAATGATGTAACCAACAAATGGGGTGATTTTACAAACATTTCAACTGATTCAACACAGAGCGAGTGACTTGGATTGAACATTGCATTGATCAGTCCTTCAGTTATATCGCAGCGTGTCATCTTGATGTGGAATGAAGTAGGCCCGAAACCCACGAACACATGTATGGTGCTGACAAGCCTTGAAACGCGATCTTGGGAACAGGTTTGTTTGTTTGTTTGTTTGTTTGTTTGTTGTTTAACACCACACTCAGAAATATTTCAGCTATTTGATGGTGGTTTGTAAATAATCCAGTATGGACTAGACAATCCAGTGATTGACAACATGAGCATTGATCCACGTGATTGTGATATGATGACATGCATCAACCAAGTCAGCTTAAGACCCGATCCCATTAGTCGCCTCTTACAACAAGCAAACTCCCATTTTAAAACAAGCATAGTCACCTTTTACGAAAATCATAGTTGCCTTTTACGACAAGCATAGTAACCTTTTACAACAATCATAGTCGCCTTAACAACAAGTATAGTCACCTTTTACGACAATCATAGTTGCCTTTTACGACAAGCATAGTCACCTTTTACGACAATCATAGTTGCCTTTTACAAGCATAGTCACCTTTTACGACAAGCATAGTCACCTTTTACGACAATCATAGTTGCCTTTTACGACAAGCATAGTCACCTTTTACGACAATCATAGTCGCCTTTTACAAGCATAGTCACCTTTTACGACAAGCATAGTCACCTTTTACGACAAGCATAGTCGCCTTTTACGACAAGCATAGTCACCTTTTACAACAAGCATAGTCACCTTTTACGACAAGCATAGTCGCTATTTACGACAAGCATAGTCACCTTTTACGACAAGCATAGTCACCTTTTATGACAAGCATAGTCACCTTTTACGACAATCAGAGTCGCCTTTTACGACAATCATAGTCACCTTTTACGACAATCATAGTCACCTTTTACGACAAGCACAGTCGCCTTTTATGACAAGCATAGTCGCCTTTTACGACAATCAGTCACTTTTTACGACAATCATAGTCACCTTTTACGACAAGCATAGTCGCCTTTTACGACAAGCATAGTCGCCTTTTACGAGGCTGCTGACCTGGATTTTCACAGATCAGGTTTACTGGTATTATCAGATAAATGTTCTACAAGGACAAAACTGACCTCAACATTAAAATTTTCATACCTGCATTATTCACTATTCAGACTGCATTACATGAAGACTTCAAATCGTGTACAACACAGGAAATAATACAACATGACACCTTTGTACATGCTGCCTGCATCAACTCACATCAAACGTGCTAGGCACTGCCGCATAGGTAGGATCCTCCAGTTCAGGAGACCCCCCAATGAAGAACCTGCGTAGCTGGGCTGAGATGGACTGTCCGACAGGGCGCCAGCAGTGACTGGTTTCATGGTACACACCTGTAACAAGGAGAGGACAGTGGTACTGACCCAGTCACGTGAGAACAGATTTGGAACACACAGACCAATGGGTGACGTTTGGAGCATCTACCCTATCAGTCAGGCCATTGCTGAGAGACAGGTACACGTATATAGTATATGGAATAATGTGAGAAAAAACATAATTTTGGGTTGAATCTTGACAACAAGGTTTAAAACACATCACTGGTTAACAAAATGATGTTGCCAGGTTTGTGGTGGCCATCTTGGATTTAAAAATGGCCACCAGTACTCATCCACTGTCCGTCACATTGCAAAATGTAATTGTCTTTGATACTGTCACTGATAGGCATGGTACACAAGGGTGGATCTGGCATTTTTAAAAGAGAGGGGTCCAAAATTACAAAATCCTCTCTCAGTGGGGGTGGTGGGAGAAAGTTTCAAAGGGTTGGGGATGGGGAGGGGGTTGGTCAGGACCCCCTGGACCACCCTCTGGATCTGCCTGTGGTAGAACAGATGAAAACTCCTGTACTGCCCTTTCTAGTGATGTACAATAGTACTGAATTGCACATATCATAAAAATTACATCAGCTGACTATGATGAATAAATAATCATTACATCACATTGTTGCATTCAGTGAACGCCATAGAGTGCCTAGTGTGGACTAGTATGGTGTTACAAAGATTTGTGTGGAACATGTGAGACAAGCATGGAGAACCTAAAACATGCTCAACTCCCAGACCCCGAATCCAAGACAAGTTTGGGGTAACAAAAACCTTATGAGTCCCAGAACAGCCATGGATTTATTATTTATAAATGAGACTTATTCAGGCTCAGAATTATGTAAGCCTAATGATGCCTCTGTGGTACCATAATTTTATTTATTACAAATCAAAATGTCTTGTTTTTTCAATTATTTTCTTGTTACTTTGAGTTTTTTCTTGTTATTTCAAAAACTCGAAATTTCGATTGTTTACTTGTTACTTTGATTATTTTTTTATTATTTCAATTATTTTCTCGTTACTTTGATTATGTTTTCATTACTTCAATTATTTTCTCATTATTTAAAGTTTTTTTCAAAAACTCAAAATTTTGATTACTTTCTTGTTACTTCAATTTGAGAAAATAATTGAGATAATGAGAAATTTTAATTAAAAAAAATTAAAATTATATATAAAAGTGGCACCATAAGGCTTTCGTACAGAATAGCGATGGATGTACAATGGAGACCTACTCAGCTCCAGAATAGCCATGGATGTACAATGGAGACCTATTCAGCTCCAGAATAGCCATGGATGTACAATGGAGACCTATTCAGCTCCAGAATAGCCATGGATGTACAATGGATGTACAATGGAACCTACACCTACTGAGAGACAACATGGGGACCTATTTAGCCAACACATCCTTGGGTATAGATCCCGAGGGATTAAACATGAGGTACATACCTGGTTTGGAGGGTACCTGTAGATAGGTGTAGCCCTCAGTGCGGAACCGGTGCCAGGAATCCAAGGACAGGACCTCCACCAGCACGATGGGGAAGCTGGGCAGCTCATCTGTAATAGCACCAGTGAGTCAGTGACTTAGATCACTATTTTGATAGTATCTGGGCCCTAAACCACCTAGTGTATTTATGCTAGGACCTTAATTAATGCAGGTTTAGAAATTAACGCTAGCCCACTAGCCTGGGACTAGTACAAATTTCCCCATTGTTTTAACATTACAGGAGTATTTCATCTTTACCCGGGTGACCGAAGAATTTGAGTTTAGTTCTAACACTGATACTACCGATGGTTAATAGTACAGCAGCCATGTCTACTAAACAACGTGATTTGAAGTGAAAGTGGTCATAACTCACAGTCTGCAATATTCCAGCTTTAGCAGCCTGCATGTAATCAAGACTGGGATAAGTATGTCATAAGACTGGGCTAAACAAAGCATGAGCAACGATCCATGATACCAGAGTCTGATGCCATGAGATCAACCAAGTCACTGCCACCCAATCCCCCATCTTGCTAGTTCCCATGACAACCACAAGGTACTTGGGACCTATCCTGACCACGCCCCTGTTCCACAAGGCGATTTTATGGGAGTAAATTTGGTTTGTTTGGTTGGTTGTTGTACTCAGCAATATTCCAGCTATATGATGGCGGTCTGTAAGTAATCCAGTCTGCACCAGACAATCCAGTGATTGACATCATGAACATCGATCCACGCAATTGGGATACAATGACATGCATCAACCAAGTCAGCGAGCCAGATCACCTGATCATGTTAGTCACCTCTTATGACAAGTATAGTCGCCTCCTAAGGCAAGCATGGGTTGCTGAAGACCTATCCTACCCCGGTTCTTCACGGGTCCATCGAAGTAAAAGATCAGACTTAAATGTGATTGACGTGCTCCCCTCTCCTCACCTTTCTCCTCCTGTTTGATGGAATCATTCTTGTAGAACAACTCAAAGCTGAAGGGGAAGCTGAAATGTGCCACATTGTCCTGAAATAAAATAATCGAAGTTGTCACCCGCACAAACAACAGACTGTCAAGGCGGCCATGGCCTCGTTAGTGGCATCATACCTGTGGTACCCAATGGTAATTCCAGGTGAGAATTGGTCCCCAGCATCCTATACTAGTGACTTAATGGATGAGTCAGGGATCAGTTCTAACCCAGAATCCCCACATGGTAGGCTAGTATTCAACTGTGAGACTATCAGGTTTAGAAGAATGGTGAAGTGTTTTGCCAGACACTGGCATTGACTGAAACTGTTATGGAATGCTAACAAGTAGTTAAAGTACTTTCATTGCCACAGAGTATAGGAAATATACGTACGATGCCTTCCACCTTTGAACTGCAGGTCTGTGTGACCCAAGACAGAGGCTGGAACCTGTCAGCAGTCCAGTCTGTCAACACACAACCCATGATGGTTAGAGGTGTTCTCATGTGTTCGTGCTTTGTCAAATAGGCTCAGGTGTGGCCAAATGTGTTCATGGATGGTTTTATATATTCAGGTGTGTCTAAATGTGTTTATGTATGGTCAGATATGTTCAGGTGTGTCTAAATGTGTTCAGGTGTGTTCGTGCTTTGTCAAATAGGCTCAGGTGTGGCCAAATGTGTTCATGGATGGTTTTATATATTCAGGTGTGTCTAAATGTGTTCAGGTGTGTTCGTGCTTTGTCAAATAGGCTCAGGTGTGGCCAAATGTGTTCATGGATGGTTTTATATGTTCAGGTGTGTCTAAATGTGTTCAGGTGTGTTCGTGCTTTGTCAAATAGGCTCAGGTGTGTCTAAATGTATTCATGTATGATCAAATATGTTCACATGTGTCCAAATATGTTCAGATGTGTCTAAATGTGTCATGTGTGGTAAAAAATGTCTAAATGTGTTCATGTATGGTCAAATATGTTCAGATGTGTCTAAATGTGTTCAGGTGTGTCTAAATGTGTTCATGTGTGTCTAAATGTGTTCATGTATGGACAAATATGTTCACATGTGTCCAAATATGTTCAGATGTGTCTAAATGTGTTCATGTATGGACAAATATGTTCACAAGTGTCCAAATATGTTCAGATGTGTCTAAATGTGTTCATGTGTGTCTACATGTGTTCATGTGTGTCTAAATGTGTTCATGTATGAACAAATATGTTCACATGTGTTTAAATGTGTTCAGATGTGTCTTAATGTGTTCAGGTGTGTCTAAATGTGTTCAGGTGTGTTCAAACATGTTCAGGTGTATCTGAAATACTGACTATCTCATGTTATGTTACACAGTGTGAAATACTTTTCACAAAAGAAGAATTCTTCTGAATCACTGATACTGAAGTTGAAGATCTCAATGTCACTCGACTGTACTTTCCTTAACATTTGAAGTATACCGTATTCGACGTAATAAGCGCCCTGCTCTAATAAGCGCCCACTGCGATATTTGTTAATATATTGGCTGGTGAACAATCTCAATTAGCACCCCTTCCAATTGATTAATGTACACAAGACTTATTTATTTGTGTATAATACGCACTCGTATGTTATATGCACCCTTAATTATGGGCAATTAAATTCTGGAAAAATATATCTGTCGTATATAAACATTTCAGGCTGTCGGCATAAACCACGAAATTTACGATCTTTCAACTCAAAATAATATTCTAATAAGAGCCCCCTATTTCTAATTTTGAGAGCGCCCTGGGGGCTTATTACGTCAAATACGGTAGTCTATTTTTGAATAAAATGATATACTGCCTGATGAGAATAAGAGATGATAGCAACTCACGTTTTGGCAAGTCCACAAAGAAGTGCAAGTAGATATCGTCAAACTGGAAGTCCCTGGCTGACTCTGAAAAACAGGATCTCACTTCCAGATGTTGGGGAGGGACTCAGCAAATCCAGGTTAGAATGGATCTTCAGCAACCCATGCTTGCCGTAACAGGCGACTAACGGGACTGGGTGGTCAGGCTCGCTAACTTGGTTTATGCATGTCATCATATCCCAATTGGGTAGATTGACGCTCATGAAGTCAATCACTGGATTTGCTGGTCCAGACACGATTATTTACAGACCGCTGTCATATAGCTGGAAAATTGCTGAGTGCGGCGTTAAACAACAAACAAACAAAACAAAAATTGTAAGACAATCATCGGTTGCGGGGACCTATTCTAACCCAGAAAGGCGCATAATACACACTAGGTATGGTAGTAGGTAATTACAATCAACAATGACAGCAAGAGAGGAGGATACAGTTTCATGCTGCTTTTTAATGTGTTCCAGAAGGATCACAACAGATAACACCAAGATGAGGGCAAATTAAATATTGTTGATTAAAACCAGTATTCTGAATACCATTGTAGGATTATTTCATTTCTAATTTCGATAATATATATCTTTCATGAAATCTATCTCTCTCATTGCCCAAATATGGTAATCTGGGAAAAATTAACAAAAATGTTAATATATTTAATAATAGTCCTTCTACAAATATCAATCTTTGTACAGTTATAACATGATGCTACAGAGAAATGTACAAAATGCCAACACATTATATTTAACAGATTAAAGTGGGCCATCTTACCAATCTCTCCAAACACTGCAAGTCTCAGAGCATCCTTCGGAGGCTGCAAAACACACAAACATCAAGCTGCTCACATAATAACTATAACATACAAAACTAAAATATTTGTGTGCAATGACAAGCTAAAATTGCTTGAATTCCCATACAACAAAACCATGAGTAATTTCGGCCCAAAGCGGAGTTGAATGTACATTTCCGACTATATCATGAATATGTGTTTATGAATAACTATTAAGTCGTGATGATATCAGGTGTTTGTGAAAAAGGTGATATATATAGTGGCAACCATCACAAACACATGCAAAGGAAAGCCAATTGTCCACCCGAAAAAAAGAAAGGAGTATATGGTCAAGTAAAAATAGGGAATTGCATCGGACATCATTCTTGACACTGATATGTCAAACTCACGCGCTTGAATTCCGAAATTGAGGTGCAGAGAGAGTGTTTTTTTCTTCAAATTTGTGAAGAGGATGATTGGTCATCTCGCCAAGCATTGTCCATCTTCTGTTTGTTTTGTTTGAACATTTTCAGAATCCTAATGATATTTACATATCATGTAAAATGGCTGACTATCTTTTTACTTCTGTCACAATCATGTTTCTTTGTTTATTGTGGATAGTTCTACCCGGTTACAGGGGGCACGGGTGGCCCAGTTGTCTAAGGCGCCACGATTCGCTGTGCAGAGTTGCGTCCCTTGGGCACGCCAGAAACCTATGATTGTGGGTTCGAATCCCGGTTCGCCCCGATTATGTTTCTAGGTTTGTCAGCACCCTTCCCGTGCTCGTGGGTTTCACCGAAGTGGTAAACGTCTGAGACCTGCATCACTTCGGGCTTTCCTCCCACATTAAGCTGACATGCCGTGATATAACTGGAATACTGTTAAAAAGCGGCGTTAAACCCAACTCACTCACTCACTCTACCCAGTTACCTACCGCCTCAAACTCCAGACCTACACAGGCCTCCAGGAAATCCTTGTGACGACTGTAAACCTGTAACACACAAACATGAGATTTATCTTACCTCCATGGCAGAACGTTGAGATTTGATTGGTTCATGTGATCTTGCGTAACCCGCCTCAGACGGAAATAAGTTTCGGAATGGGACAATAAAACCTCATATCCCGCCATGAAGAAAACAGGCAAGACGTGGATTCCTTAGTGGGGGAATAAATCTCCTACACCCCTCTCCGAAGCAAAGAACTGCTTATTGTTTACGAATCAACGAAAGTCACGTGACATAGCACAAATAAACATAAGCTCAATCGAACAGCTGGTTTCAGTCTGTTTTCAATTTTAACAAAATAAAAAATTTAATTATTTTAATCTTGCTGATTGAAAGTTGTCAGCAAGATAAATTTGTTGTATCAGGACCACGAGGGTACATTTGGTTTTATGTGTACCCCTGGCTCATGTCATGATACCTAACACAGGACGCATAAAACCACATCTACCTCTCATGATACAACTACAACTCATACTAGAGTCTCAATGACATGTAAACTTGTGAGGCTAAAAAACAACACTTTTGGTTCTCAGGCACCGCCCAATCATCATAAAGTTTGCCGTACGTTTCATTTAATTTCTATTTTAAAAGACAAAAACAAAAAATCCTTAAATATTCCAAGTCCAATGGTAGTCAAATACTGTATTCCAGTATCTTACTCCTCAAGGAATACATTTATGTAGGGAGTCCCTTTCCCAGGGTTGGTTTCAATAACAACAAAAGAAAGAAAAGAAGGACACCGCTTGCCCGCACTATATGTTTAAAAAAACATTGCCTGAGAACCAATTCTTTTTTTTTAAAGCCAAACATACAAATATATAGTGTCTCAATGACATGTGGTCTGCAACACACAACCACTGTCTATAGCAGAGTGTACTCTTGACACACAGAAAATACGTCTTTCAGTCCTGAAGATGTAAAATGTACGTCAGACTTGTGCGTAGTCTACATCTTGAACATAATTTGTGATCTTTTAGAGACCCACTCACCTCCCTGTACATCTTTCTCTCCCTTTCCTGCTCCTGTCTGAAAAGATATATGTCTCAATGATATACTGTGTCTCGGTGACATGTCTCAATGATATACTGTGTCTCGGTGACATGTCTCAATGATATACTGTGTCTCGGTGACATGTCTCAATGATATACTGTGTCTCGGTGACATGTCTCAATGATATACTGTGTCTCGGTGACATGTCTCAATGATATACTGTGTCTCGGTGACATGTCTCAATGATATACTGTGTCTCGGTGACATGTCTCAATGATATACTGTGTCTCGGTGACATGTCTCAATCATATACTGTGTCTCGGTGACATGTCTCAATGATATACTGTGTCTCGGTGACATGTCTCAATGATATACTGTGTCTCGGTGACATGTCTCAATGATATACTGTGTCTCGGTGACATGTCTCAATCATATACTGTGTCTCGGTGACATGTCTCAATGATATACTGTGTCTCGGTGACATGTCTCAATCATATACTGTGTCTTGGTGACATGTCTCAATCATATACTGTGTCTCAGTGACATGTCTCAGTGATATACTGTGTCTCGGTGACATGTCTCAATCATATACTGTGTCTCAGTGACATGTCTCAATGATATACTGTGTTTCGGTGACATGTCTCAATCATATACTGTGTCTCGGTGACATGTCTCAGTGATATACTGTGTCTCGGTGACATGTCTCAATGATATACTGTGTCTCGGTGACATGTCTCAATGATATACTGTGTCTCAGTGACATGTCTCAATCATATATATAGAGTTCTCAATGATATAGAGTGACTCAATGATACAGAGTTCTCAATGATATAGAGTGACTCAATGATACAGAGTTCTCAATGATATAGAGTGACTCAATGATACAGAGTTCTCAATGATAAAGAGTGACTCAATGATACAGAGTTCTCAATGATATAGAGTGACTCAATGATATAGAGTATCAAGATGATAGATTGCAACTCCATGATACCAAGTGTCTCCATGATGTATAGTGTATATTGCTACATGTATTCAACTTACCTATTCATGGGTTTTGAGGAGTGTTCTATTGTATACTCAAACACCTCTGGAAAGACAGAACGTCAATATTTCAGGAATATTTCCAAACAAAACATGTACTGATGCAGTTTCCATCTGCAGTCAAACTACATCTGGAGCATCATGTAAAGCTAATCAAAGTTAATTCAGTTTGAGTTATTGAGTGTCAGCTCAATGGGGGAGGAAAGCCCGAAGTGATGCAGGTCTCAGACATTTGCCACCCTGGTGAAACCCACAAGCATGGGTATGGTGCTGACAAACCAAGAAACATAATCGGCCTGAATCAGGATGTGAACCCACAATCATAGGTTTCTGGCTTTCCCAAGGGAAGCAACTCTGCACAGTGAATTGCAGTGCCTTGGACAACTGGGCCACCCGTGCCCCAAATTTTGGGGTGATTGAGTGAGTTGGGTTGGACACCATTTTTAACAGTATTCCAGTTTTATCACGTTGTGTCATCTTAGTGTGGGAGGAAAGCCCGCAGTGTTGCAGGTTTCAGACGTTTACCACTTTGGTGAAACCCACGAGCATGGGTATGGTGAACAGGAATCGAAACACACAATCACAGGTTTCTGGCCGAATTTCGGCGCTTAGGAAGCCAGGCTACCCGTGCCCCCTGAATCTAAGAGCGAGAGTATAGAAGAAGCAGTAGTAAACTCATACCTCTACCGACGGAGACTGTTTCTATTAGATACGGTTTGCGTCCTCTGTTGAAGTCAGGTCGGATGCTCAGAACACCATTAGCATCAATTTGTAGCATGCACATGATATACTCGTCAGACTCATGGGCGGCCCTGAAACAAAGCATGTTTGTTTGTTGTTTAACGCTGCACTCAGCAATATTCCACCTATATGAGTGAGTGAGTGAGTGAGTGATTGGGTTTAACGCTGCTTTTAACAGTATTCCAGTTATATTGCGGCGTGTCAGCTTAATGTGGGAGGAAAGCCCGAAGTGATGCAGGTCTAAGATGTTTACCACTTCGGTGAAACCCACGAGCACGGGTATGGTGCTGACAAACCTAGAAACATAATCGGGGCAAACTGGGATTCGAACCCACAATCATAGGTTTCTGGCGTGCCCAAAGGACACAACTCTGCACAGCGAATCATGGCGCCTTAGACGACTGGGCCACCCAGAAGGCAGTCTGTAAATTTAAGCAATGAATACGATGGCAAGTATCAACCAAGTGAGTAAGTTGGACCACCCAATTCCGTTAGTTACCTCTAATGACAAGACCAATTCTAACCCGGACCTTCGCAGAAGAAAACAAAGTTCAGTAAACTACGGTTATACTGAACTCAAGGGGACCACTAATTAGCATGAATGTAGTTTACTGTATGTGTCAAACAGATCAGGTAATGAAAAGGAACTGCATACTAAACATACACACTGCCCTGGTTGACAGAGTTACTTACGTAATGAACTAGAAACTGACCAAGAGCATCCTTGCACCTGAGTGCTCTGTTGTGTGCTCTTTTGAGGGGATGGGCTTGGGGATAGATTTTTGTTTGTTTGTTCATTGTTTAACGCTGCACTCAGCAATATTCCAGCTATGTGACGGCGGTCTGTAAATAATCAAGTCTGGACCAGACAATCCAGTGATTGACGATCCACACAGTTGGGATACAATGACATGCATCAACCAAGTCAGCGAGCCTGACCATCCGATCCCCTTCGTCACCTCTTACGACAAGCATAGTCGCCTTTTTGGGCAAGCATGGGTTGCTGAAGACCTGTTCTACCCCGGATCTTCACGGGACATGAGGATAGACTAGTGGGACATGGGCGAGCCATCTTCCCGAGGCAGGAGAGTTAACTGACTATAAAAGTCCAGTTTCCACCCTTGCCGAACTAGGCTGGTATTATGGAGTTACATTTTGGCTGGACTAACGAGTCTATGCTTAGTCCAATAAAAATCGCGCACCGAAATCGAAATCTGGTTCGTAAACTGTCGAGCAGATTTCGGTCGATTGCAGGATTTGTAAAGCATGTGCACCGCCAACTCGTTGTCAGCAGATATTTTCCAAATCTTTTCACGGTTTTAATCAAGGTGCTCATGTGATTTGATGCATTTCGCCATGTAAGACCCGTTTTATCACAATATAGATCATTATTATCGATCAGATCGCCCTGACCGGACGCCACCATTTTGTGTGAAGCAAACGCAAGTGATATGAGAGGTGGAATCTGATTGGTCCATAGGAGAGGCTTAGAAGGGACATAACTGGTAATAGCCACTGGTGGCGCTACGATCGAGCCCAGTTATTCCAGCCTAGTTCGGCAAGGGTGAAAACTGGACTTTTAAAGAGTTTACTCTCTTGCCTCGGGAAGATGTGGGCAAGCAAGACTGGATAAACCCAGACATCGTTACTTACATAACTAAACAGTCAAATCGGTGAATGACTACACAAGATCAATGAATAATCAACAAATTATATTGAAACACACAGTTTTAACTGCAGTCATAAATGTCCAGAATTTTTTAAGCTGTCAGGGATTTGGTGTTTTATGACAGGTATCCAGTCCACACAAGTCAGATCACCCTTGACAGAACATCCTTCTAGAAACTGTCACGTCCTTGAACAATCAATCTTGCCATGTTTGTCAACAACAAAGGGAGGTAACTCTAATAACATTTCCTGTTACAATTTGGCCACCACAGCAGCCAAGATTTTACCAGTGTTTCAATCCTTTCCTGCCACTGACTATCACTACGAAAACTTACAGCAATCTCAGCTGCCACACAACAGTATCCTACCCACCTCTCCCTGGGACTGAGGTCTCCCATGACGTACATCACCTCCATCGGGGGAGCCTCGATGTGGTTCTTCCTCCTCAAATCCTGTGATGGTGATGCGTCTACCACGTTGATTTTCGGGACTATGCCGACCCCTCTGCAAACAAAATCTGTCAATGAATGACATTGAACAAAGCTCATGGATTTTCATGAAATCCAGCATTATCCAAGTACTTAAATGAAAGGAAAAGAAAATGATTCAGTATTACCAGTGGTAGAAACTAACAGTTTCAGTCCACTGGTCCTTATAATGATAACATATAGCAAAACCTTTAAAAATGACAAATTTTTACTAGTCCCTAGAATACCTTTACTATTGGGCAGTTTGGCAAGGACTATAGGTTGGTTGGTTTGTTGTTCAACGTCGCACTCAGCAATATTCCAGCTATATGACGGCGGTCTGTAAATAACTGGACCAGACAATCCAGTGATTAATATCATGAGCATCAATCCACGCAATTGGGTTTGATGACATGCATCAACCAAGTCAGCGAGCCTGCCCCCCCGATCCCGTTAGTCGCCTTTTACGACAAGCATAGTCACCTTTTACGGCAAGCATGGGTTGCTGAAGACCTATTCTACCCTGGAATCTTCACGGGTCAGGACTATAGGACTAGTGCCAATTTCTAACCCTGATTACCAGGGTAATCAACATTTTATACTGTAATCATGATGATCACCTCTCTTTGAGTTGTCGACCCCCGACCCTGCGCTGGCGGACATGGGACATCTTCTCAGCAAGAATCGTGGATCTCTCCGAATTGGATGTGGTCATGAACTGCACGGCCTAAAGACAAGGGAAGTTATGCAGAAATGTCACAAAAACTGTAAAAAGCAGGTGTTTTTCAAAATTTCTGGCAGAAAAATGTCTATTGAAATGTCAGTTGGTACGTTCTCAGATAATGTCTTACTGATTACAAAGTCGTGTTTGTTTGTTGTTTAAAGCCACACTCAGCAATATTCCAGCTTCATGACAATTACTTGTAAATAACTGAGTCTGGACCAAACAATCCAGTGATTGATATTATGAGTAACGAACCACACCATCGGGAAACTTTCATATGCTTTTGTTTGTTTGTTTGTTCTTAAATGCCACATTAAGCAATATACCAGCTATATGATGGCAGTCTGTAAATAATTGAGTATGGACCAGACAATCCAGTGATTAATATCATGAACATCGATCCATGCAATTAGGATACGATGACATGCATCAACCAAGTCAGCGAGCCTGACTACCCGATCCCATTAGTTGCCTCTTACAACAAGCATAGTCGCCTTTTACAGCAAGCATGGGTTGCGGAAGACCTATACACAATAGGACAATATCTATATCCCAGACACAATAGGACAATATCTATATCCTGGACACAATTGGACAATATCTTTATCCTGGACACAATAGGACAATATCCATATCCTGGTCACAATAGGACAATATCCATATCCAATACACAATTGGACAATATCTATATCCTGGACACAATAAGACAATATCCATATCCTGGTCACAATAGGACAATATCCATATCCAATACACAATTGGACAATATCTTTATCCTGGACACAATAGGACAATATCCATATCCTGGTCACAATAGGACAATATCCATATCCAATACACAATAAGACAATATCTATATCCCAGACACAATAGGACAATATCTGTATTTGGGGCACAATAGGACAATATCTATATCCAAGACACAATAGGACAATATCTATTCCCAGACACAATAGGACAATATCTATATCCTGGACACAATAGGACAATATCTATATCCTGGACACAATAGGACAATATCTGTATTCTGGGCACAATAGGACAATATCTATATCCAAGACACAATAGGACAACATCTGTATTCTTGGCACAATAAGACAATATCTATATCCAAGAGACAATAGGACAATATCTATTTCCCAGACAGAATAGGACAATATCTATATCCTGGACACAATAGGACAATATCTATATCCAAGACACAATAGGACAATATCTATTTCCCAGACACAATAGGACAATATCCATATCCTGGAAATTAAGTTTACAAAATAACCATCTACCTCCTCTTCGTGTGAGAACTTGTCATCGTCAGTGTAGGTGAATATCCGGTTGGTGGGCTTCCCTCTCTCTCTGCAACACAAACAGTGCAGCTCTCAAAAACGTAGAGAATAATCCACAAGCGAGGAAAGAGTGAGGTTTCGTGCCATTTTTGGCAACATCACGGTGGTTGACGCCAGAATTGAGCAAATGGGCGTCTGACATTTTGTACCCTTATTGGGATCTGAACTCGGGCCCTCAGCATGATGAGCAAACACTGTAACCAGGAGGCTTACCTTATTCCCCTTGTAACTAAATTTTAAAATTTTAAAATTATTCAGGTATTAATTCTAATTCAAAGTAGTGTGTGAAAAAAGCTCTAAAATGGAGACATGATACAGGGACAGGTAATTATTCAAGCTCACATGACCCTTTGAATTCAGCACAAATATTCACACAAATACATCCCAGTACAGTATCATCGGATTATAGGTTTTTGGACATCATACATTTTCGGACGGCCATGTTTATCACAATTACAGCTGCTATAACAAGGGTGTGACATCACACAGACATTGTAAATTCTGAGATGATGGCTTGTTTTGAAGATAATATTGTCTTTTACAAGTGAGTGAGATGTTTAAGGTGTTTTACAGTTCTTGTGATTTGCAAGAAAACTATGAACGTTTCTTTAGCGTCCGAAAACGCGTAACACAGGGATACTAATATATCTCACTATAGAGCTGAAAAATAAACACAAGACACTTTCTGGCAATGAGTTTTCCATGTCTGATTTCTGGATGGTTTGATGCATATAAACAAGTATGTTATGACAATGAATCATTTTCTTGATGGTCTTTGGACAAACATGAAATGGTGTCATGCAAGGACATTTTACTGACAAAGCTTCAGAACCGTCGGATAGTTTCTTCATCAAGAAACGGGAGAGTGACTTACATGATTTTAACAACTTGATCGTGGTAGGTCTTTTCTCGTATGTTGAAGCAGTTGGCCTCTTGGTTGTACAACTCAACCTCCCTCTGAAATATAAAACTCCATCTTAAAACAAATACACACAAAGTCAAATGAAAATTCAGTGAAATTGGTTAAACACAGCTCTGACTAATCCAGATCACTGTCAAAACCAGACCAGGAAACTGCCACTTGAATAACTTGTCATTAATCTTGTGCGCAAATATCATGACAGAAAGGGAAGCAACTCCAACTAAAATATCAATAATCCAGACCACTGTCTAAAAATGACCAAATTTTCAGCACCACACAAGTTCAGTTAAGACAAATTCCACAGCATACAACAAATATATAGGTTAATATTCACGTTTCCTGGTGGCCGAGTCGTCAAAGGCGCCAAAATTTCACAATGCCCAAAAGGGACCTGATCCTCCATTGTCCTTTCTGTTTGTGAAATGGTCCTTATATGACCATAGATAAACTGAGGTATTAACTTGGTCCTTGAAATCTGTATCAAATTTGGCTTATCTTCGGTCATATACGGTTCAAATCACAAGTGCATATTTAACATTCACCTGACTGAAAATCTTTTCCTGCCACTTTATGATAATTTCTTCCTCGTCCACCAGCTTGGGCTGTTTCCCCATCTCTCCCATCTCCACACTGCCCTCCTTCTGTTCTTTGGCTGCTGCGGATGGGACGATACTTGAGGACGTCACTCGCTTCAGCCGAACTCTGCAACATCAACATCTAGTTTCATTTGTCCTCAAATAATAATAAATAAACAAGACAATTACCAAACATGTGCAACACTAATTGGTTGATTGAATGTAAATCATCTCCAGGGCTCGATTTAAGGAACTTGATTTAACTGGCACCAGGTGCAAGTTGACATAAAGATCTTGTTGCACCAGGTGCAAGTTGACATGAGGATCTAGTTGCACCAGGTGCAAGTTGACATGAGGATCTAGTTGCACCAGGTGCAAGTTGACATGAGGATCTAGTTGCACCTGGTGCAAGCTGACATGATGATCTAGTTGCACCTGGTGCAAGTTGATATGAGGATCTAGTTGCACCAGGTGCAAGTTGACATGAAGATCTAGTTGCACCTGGTGCAAGTTGACATGATGATCTAGTTGCACCAGGTGCAAGATGACATGAGGATCTAGTTGCACCGGGTGCAAGTTGACATGAGGATCTAGTTGCACCAGGTGCAAGTTGACATGAGGATCTAGTTGCACCAGGTGCAAGATAACATGAAGATCTAGTTGCACCTGGTGCAAGTTGACATGATGATCTAGTTGCACCTGGTGCAAGTTTATATGAGGATCTAGTTGCACCAGGTGCAAGTTGACATGAGGATTTAGTTGCAACAGGTGCAAGTTGACATGAAGATCTAGTTGCACCTGGTGCAAGTTGACATGATGATCTAGTTGCACCTGGTGCAAGATGTCATGAAGATCTAGTTGCACCAGGTGCAAGTTGACATGAGGATCTAGTTGCACCAGGTGCAAGTTGACATGAGGATCTAGTTGCACCTGGTGCAAGATGTCATGAAGATCTAGTTGCACCAGGTGCAAGATGACATGAAGATCTAGTTGCACCAGGTGCAAGTTGACATGAGGATCTAGTTGCACCAGGTGCAAGTTGACATGAGGACCTAGTTGCACCAGGTGCATGTTGACATGAAGATCTCTTGCACCAGGTTGCTCCTGGTCCAATAAATTAATAAAATTTGAAACATACTTGATAAACTAATCTAGCCAAGTAAAATCTCAGATCTCTGATGACTGTGTCATGCGTCATGAATTACACATAACCATAGGAATTAGTGATACTGTATGATTAATAAAGTTTAGAGATACTGAGTGTGTTCAAAAATTGATGTTATGTGGACAAGTAAGGATTAGTCTGACACAAATTGATTTTTTTTACATGCACTTGGTGGACCTCAGGAAGATCATGTTTTGACGTACTTCACAGGTTCGAGTGATAATTAACTTGAAGACAGATTTATATTCAATTAGAAATTCACTCATGGTGAAAATGTGTGTACTCCTGAACAACTGAACACCAGGACATTACAACTGGAAAAAATATTTTGATGCCAGGGAATAATTCTGCAAAGCAATCTTAGTGCTACAATTGTAGTATGTATGTGGTAGAGTATGGGTGTTGCTGTAATGAGTTGCAGTCATAAAACAGAGCATTGTAAAACAACTGTATCCTTCCTATAACATTTACTGTTGTGAAACCTGGTTTGACTCAAATATCATGCATGGAAATACACAAAATCTGAGAATACTCTCTATTATACAAGCTACAAGGAATAACAGATTACATGTACTGCATGAAATAATTTTGTAAGTTCCTTATATAGATCTGACAGAGAGGCATATATTCACCCATCAATGATATATTTTAAATTAAAATCTAATATAAACACTGAAAGAAACAAACAACATCAACAACTGACATGACATATGGAAGGTATGGGCAGACTCCATTGATAGGGTTGACTTGGGTTATGGTCTGGCGCCAACCTAAAGACAAGAGATGGGTATGGTAAATGATTGATTATTGATCTCTAGGCCCTAGACCTTATTGATGATCAAGTTTCGACAAGTTTGATTTGTCTTAATTTTATTATCGAAACTACGCCATTGACATTTCATGACAGACACACAGTACATAGTTCCTATGATCGTATACTAAGAGAGCAAAATCGACGCACTTGATTTGTAGGTTTTTGATGGAGTCATTCGATCTGTAATATGCAGTTCCCACATCAGGCTCATAAAGATCCGCCATTTTCTCGGAATGTAAACATAACAGTACCGCAGATACGTTGGACCAGATGACGCGATAAAATGATACCACTATTGTAGATTTATCATATTTACATAAAGTGAGGAATCAATCAAATGTGTGTCTCATTAGGCAGTGTTTACATTTATCATATTCATCTCTGCACTGCAAAATGACGTCATAAATAATGGCGGACAGGGCAACTTGAAAATGTCAGGGCGACAACCAAATGATAGGTAAGGGTTTATCAAAGTTGTGTTTGACTTATAAAGTCCTGTGTTTGATGCAACATTGTAAGGAGACACAATAGGCCCAATATCAGCTCCAGATGACATTTGCAGTGCTTATTATAAGTGTTGTTATTGCTACAAAATTATTGACCCAGATTATGGCCATCTATATTTAGAAACAAGTGCCCCTACGTTTGTTTGGGAAAAGTGATATTTCGCATTAGTATGGGCATTTCTGCTTATGTGCACCACTATGTTTCGTGCTAAGGGAATTAAGGACATATGAATGAAACGTTCTGTCGTCTACCTGTGCTCATGCTCCAAATGCTTAACATTGATTTGGTTGAACTCATTCATGTCAGTTTGAGAGTCCCAGGAATGTGTTTTCTGTTTACATTTATTCTGGAATACGGTTTTTCACAAATTATTTTCAAAAGAGATATTTCCTCTGGTTGACAACTCAGATTTGTGTTTTTATATCTCCTCTGAATCATTGTTGAGTACTGAAAGATTCAGAAGTCTCATTAACTACTTCATTTGTGATGATGATATTTGACCTAATCATGCTAATGTATGCAAGCAGAGAACTGAAAGTCACATGATGGGTAAAGGTAAATTGATGTATCTTGAAAGTACAGAGAACAAAAAGTACATATTCCCCCCTTTTTCTGTAACTGCATCATCTTTTTCTGTAACTGCATCATCATCAGGATTTTCACACATGATCATCTTCATCATGTTCATTGTATATAGATTCTCACTTAGATAGTGCTCTGAGGGGAACTCGATAACGGATCAGGTTTACTCAGACTTGAGTCCGTTTTCAAGAACTTGTGTACCTGAAAAAAGGGGATACTCTAGTATCATGAGTTTCCTGATGGGTGGTAATGACTTGCATAAAATCACATTATAGTGAACATAAAATAACCCCTGTATTTACCATAATAATATAACATAACATAACCTTTGTCTATTTTATGCTGTATTATTGCATATCAAATGTGAAAATTAGGGATTACACTCATTACAGTGAGCGTAAATTGACCAAATAATTAACTGACAACAGTCTCTCCCTCAACCCACCCTCTCATCAGGACCCTTAGGCATGTACGATAAATGGTCTAGTATTGGCAAATGCCAGGCTCTTGAGTCTGAATTGCTATTGGTGATGACTACTCGAGGCACGTTTTTTGTATGTACGGAGTCCTTCACTCAGCCAAAAAGCACACAAGGCAATAATCCTTCTTGATCTAATGATTGATTAAAATAACAGGAAGTTTTCTGAGTAAAGTCTGGGACTTATTTAGGCTTTCTCAGAGGTTGATATTTGGCATCAAATATTGGTAAAATTCCCTAATTGGAATAAAAGATGTCACAAATCAGGTTATGAGTTTTTTCATGATATGTTGTTGCTTTGCAGATGTAACCGAGTTTGACATTATTGCATGGAATGCAATGTTCATGACGTTAGCATGGTATGAATACCTCTATATATATGAACAGAGGAACATTACAAAAATAAAAATCAATTTATGACATGAACAAATGTTTTTGTTCTGCCATCATGGCCATGGGTATTCCGTTAAATGTTTAAATTCAAGATTAATCTCTGGGAGTTTTGCCTGCTGCTGGCACTATGCCAGGTTTAAGAAAAGAAATGTCTTTGGGACAGAGAAAGTCTTCATAAGAACAGAACCTCCCAAAATTCACATGGCAAGCCTATCCCCTATTTTTTGTTCTCAGGTTATTGGTGCATATTTGCAATATTATCAAGATTGCGTGTCTCCAGAGAGGTCAATAAGATGATAATTGATAAGGAAACTCCTTATTGCTGTATGTCTGTTTATATTTCCATTCAATATTGTCCTGCTTTGACCATAATTGTACAAAGGACCTCCTCCCATTTATTGTTACTTTTTGCTGTTGTGATCTAGAAATGAGAACCACATCCAGTTTTTGGAAATCCTTGCAAATTGTCCAGCAAACATAGTTGGTGCAAAAATGTTTGCCTCAAATGATACAAAAAAACCACAGTATTTGCATATACATTTATAGATACCAAAACCAAACAAGGCCTGTCAGTTGGCTGAGTAAAAACATGTACCATATTCAACGTAATAAGCACCAGGGGGCTCTCAAAATTAGAAAAAGGGGGCTCTTATTAGAATATTATTTTGGTGAAAGATTGTAAATTTTGTGGATTATGCTGCAGCCTGAAATGTTTACATACGACAGCTATATTTTTCCAGAATTTATGTGCATATAACACATGAGTGCGTTTTATACATGAATAAATAAGTCTTGTGTACATTGATCAATCGGAAGGGGTACTAATTGGGATTGTTGACTAGCTAATATATTAGCAAATATTGCCGTGGGCGCTTATTAGAGCGGAGTGCTTATTACGTCGAATACGGTAATCATTGCCATAGACAGCAATTTGAAAAATATATTGCTGGTTTTAACATGCTTAGAAATAGTTTAGACTTGACCCTAGGGAAGGAAGGGAGTACAATTTCATTGAACGTGTTGAATACACTAAGAAAAACTGAAAAGCTCTATGAGAATGATTGCATGAGTGTAAAATACTCCATGACTTAAACACGTATTTGCAGCACTGGTAGCACTTTTCATGGGTTGAACTACCATCTATCAGAACAGTTTGACTTTCCTTGGAGGGGGTGTTGATGAGCTACAATTTGGATTTTGTGTCTTATTCTTTTTCACAAGTTTGACTTTAGTTTTAGAATTAGTTATTTTTCTGTTCATATCAATTCTGAACATTGATACTGTGATATAATACAAACACGTCTTTATTTTGAGAAAATACCAATGTTAAAAAAAATTAAATTCAAAGCTTTCTGATTCAGTTAATATCAGATCGTTGCTCACACTATCAATCACTATATTTTCTGGTCCAGACTCCATTATTGACAGGCTGCCCAACACATGAGATTGGAATATTGCTGAGTACGTCATATTGTCTGAATCATCATCATACACGATTTAACTAATATACACAGGCAGGCGAAAGCAAAACTGTGTTTGATCATATGATAAAGATCAAATTCCAAATAAACTGTTTTTCGTGTTTTTAGTGCTGTTTGTTTATTTGTTAAATGATAGACAATGTATCAACAAGATACAGCTACGTTCGACACACAACTAGAAGTTACAATGATTTTTGCAGGGATTTATCTCGACCTGCTGAAATGTCAGTACAAATTTCCAACTTGGAATTTAGATTTTCCCAGGGCTGTAGTTTTAAAGGGAGGTAATTATATTTATTATTTTTGTTGTAAGTTACTCGTTAATGACGCTCAAATAACAAAGCAAAAATTAATGATTTTATGAGGGATATGGACAACATTTTTAATTAGGGATGGTAGGGTTGATGAGAAAAAACAACATGATTTGATTACCAAATAGACCGAAAAGAGGAACTTTTGTCAAAAACAATGTGAATGTAAAAAACGAACAAAGTCTGCAAGAGGCATGGTTGAGCAACTTTGAGTGGGTGAAGATGACAGTACATGGCAGTGATTGTCTGTCGTAAATATCCCCATCTTGATGGTTAATTACAGGAAATGGTAATCACTGAAAACATAAAACTTTAGAAAAAATTAGAGGGCATGTGAAAATGTTGCAGGACAAGAACAAAATAATAGTTGCTTGCCCTGCAGGACAAGTTGGGTTGAACTTGAAGACTTTTGCGAGCCTTGTTTTCCCTATTCATGTTAATAAAAAAAAATATATATAGTTATATCTATTATTTTGACTTTGTAGATTTTTATTTTTATAGAAGTGACTTGTATTATATCTCTGAATTAAAGAAACAAGGACTTTTAAAAATTCCAAATTTTGTACAATATATATATTTGTTCCCTCTTTGCATTCCAAGGGCATATATTTTGGAGTCCCTGTTTTGAAAATTTGCCATGTTTGTCATTAAGTGACCCAGAGGCTGTACCTGTTGACCACAGGATCAACTCTGGGTCCTTGTAAAAATCCTGCTCTGTACAAGATGTGTATATACAGTTAGGAGTTTCTGTACTCAGTAGGGCTGCAACGAATACACTATGAGGCGAATACGATTCATATCACCAATGTAGGGTAACGAATACGAATATTAAATCAAGAATACAATAACATGCCAGCAGTTGATTTATTATTTGTTATATTCAGTGAATAAATATTAATAACATAAATTATTTGACATGGTTTGTTAATTATTAATATATTATACATTTATATACTGCACTTATCCAGGTACTTGTATCTGCTCAAATGCAACAATGACCAGTGAGCACAATACTGTCAAATTAAATATTATAAGAGTGTTGTCTTTGAAGAAATCTATATAATATGTTGTTATGGATATTTTTAGGTATGTATTGTAAATGCACATGATTGCATATTATCAAATATTCGATTCTAGTGGCCATGAATAACGAATTCAATTCATGAATGGATACTGTTTGATTCCCCATATATGCGAGTGAATCGTAACAGCCCTAGTACTCAGCACAAGACACCAGGATATTTTTTGCACTAGGCTCAAGGACTAGTGATCACTCACAATTAACTAGTCCTTAAGACAATTCACTGTCTTTAAGTTTAAATTTAAAGGTTTTTAATGTAAAATATTTTCAATTGAATGGTCAGGTTAGATTGTTGCACACAAGCAAAGGCTAAGAGTTTATGAAAACCCCGTTCTGAATTCCCAATGTTAACTGTTTATGATTGTAGTCACAGAAACGTGAAAGTTCAATCAAGATT